CCCCCATCCCCCGGGCGGAACCAGGCCAGGCCCCCCCCTTCCGGGACGGGGTTGGCCCCGTGCGGGGGAGCCTTTAGCAAGGCCCGCGTTGAACTCACCACTCCAAGGCCCAGGACCCATGACCAAGGAAAACCCCCCAAAATTTGCCCCGAAAAAGGTGGGGTTTTTTTAGTTAGAGTACAGGGTGGAGGTTTACGGAGTGTTTTTTTTCATTGGGGTGTTGGGCCGTTGGTCGCCCCCCCCCCCCTCCCCCCCCCCGGGGGCCCGGGCCCCCCGTTGGTTTCCCCCGGGTTTTTTTTTTTTGCCCTTAAATTTGTCTCTCTTCGGGTTGCGCGCATTTTTTGGGACCCAAGGAGAAAAAGAGCCGGCCCCGGGGGGGGGGTGGGGGGGGGGGGGGGTCGCTTATTGTTGCATGTTGCTGCCGTGTTCGTCGGGTATGACCAAGATCAGGAGGGTCCTAATAAAGCCAAAGACTGAGGCTGCTCGAGGTGTGCGGCGAGTCGCGAGAAGGGCAAGCACGTGCGCCTCAAAAACCACTCGAGGAGCGGGAGGGGACACTTGGCGGGCAAAACGCCAAAAAGGACCCGCGCCATGGGTTTATGTGGCGGTACTGCTGAAGACGCGTCAGCGTGAAGGCTGTGCAGGGCTGGGGCTGCGACGGCAGGCCATAGCACTACTCATGCTTGGGCGCTTCAAAGGATACTGCCGTGGCAGTGGTACGTGGCGCTGAAAAGTGCTCGTGAAGCGAATCAGCAGCGAATAACCTGGGGGCCCTTCAAAAGCCTCCTCCTTTGTCGATTGCCTCAGTCATTCGATGACACGATACATGGCGCCCGGACTTATTAGTCTCTGGTTTCGGCCGAGGATTGGGTTCTCAGCTCTTCCTGCGGCCTACGAACGGTCGCTACATAGTTTTTAGTGTAGGGGTTCTTAACCAAGATCACGAATGGTGCTCAAGTTCTTAGCTGTGGGCGCCATCTGTATATCACCTACCCCTTCGGAGACCGGCCATCGTCCCTGTCCTCGGATACCTCTGGGTAAACTATGTTCAACAAGCAGTCCTCCGGGTGGGCATTTTCGACGCCTCCTATACGGGTATGCTCTGCACGCAGTCCTCCGGGTGGGCACACTTTCGACGCCTCGTGTCCGAAGGACGAAACATCCTAAACTCACATCTTTGGCGGCGGCGAAGCCTCTCTCGCTAGCGATCACCACCTCGTCTCGCCACCTTCCGAGGGTAGGGGCTGCCTCCTCCATCTTGGCCCCGACCACCTGCACTCCCTTTTCGGTCGTCTCCGATATCTTACACCCCACCTTTTCATCACAGAACAAGAAACAGCGCCACATCCCCGAGCACGTAATAAGTAAGTGGGCGCGCAAAGCGGCGGCATGTGGCACGTGCGGTCTTCCTATCAGTAGCATTATCATGGATACACACAAACAGACCACCCCCGCTTGTGACCGCGTTTCCATTCAAGTAACTGCTGTACACAACGTGCGAAAGGCACACTTTCGACGTGAAGCAGAGCAACTGCTGCCTTGTCATGCTGCTTCTTGTGCGACAAGGGGCTATGGTTGTACCACCGTAGACGAAAAACTACAAGCTGCTGTTTCGCGACTAATTCACTGCATAAAAACCAGATCAACGCACGTGAGGAACCGTAAAACAAAAAACAAACATGCTTCACCTTCCGAACCGCCGTAGGCGAGTGCACACAGCCGTGTGCCTGCGAAACAACCTAACGCTAAAGGAACCCCTCAAGACCTAGAAAAAGAAAGCCTCCAGCTTCCAAACTGCAGCTGTCCACCACTGCACACATCGCGCTATAAGAAAAACACAACTCTGGACGGAAATATAAGGACCGTTCGAACACTAAATTGATCGTCCCAATGGCCCCTATACTTCCGAACAGATTGGTAGATACGAAATACTTTAGTACGTGCGTTCGAGGCCCTCCGCCGACACACACACCTTGCTGAGGCCGTCCATGCTGCGGTCGACGAGGTTGACCGTGCCCTCCTTGATCTTCTCGGCCGTCTCCGTCCTCTCCAAGTCGCGGTACGTCGCCGCAACGCTAGCCCAGCCCGTGGCGAATATCATCTTTGCCTGGCTCCACGGGGAAGGGAGGCGAGCCGCCGAGCGACCGAAGTGGGGAAGCGGGAGCTTAACGTATTGGAACTCACAGGGGGAGCGTTTTGCAGAGTTACCACACGGCTTTGCATCACGGAAAAATGGTCCACCCAGCGGCATTCTCTGGTGTTGTGTGTTTCTCGGGGTGTGTGGAAGGGAGGCTTGTGGCGTAGCTTGAGCATACGCAGGTATGCAGGTTATCGCACACACCCCAATACTAATTAGCGGTGAAGCCGATACTTTTTTCTCACCTTCATCCCAAGAGGGGAAAAAAACTGCTCTAAATATCGATGCTTCTTTCAACGCGATGCTGGGTGCCCTCGTCCGCCTAAATTCCGGGAGGCCAAAATGACCCTCCTTTTTCAACCAGAAAACAAGATATCTACAGAGCACCGATTTTGACCATCTGCTGGGTTCTGAGGAGGAAGAACTACAGCGTACTCTTCCTAAACACCGGTGTGATGCTGCTCCGACAAGAGAAGGTCGTGGTGCACAGGCATTTGTCCCGGAAATTGGTAGGAGATCACTTATCCTAACCCCGGGAGTTGTCAACAAACTTTTGCGGGAACATGAAGCGGAGATCCCGCACGGAATATACGGAAGTCAGCGCAGAAAGCGGAGGTGTATCTACCACTCAGCTAAGTCTCGCACATGCACAGACACACACCCGCCATGACCCAATCCCTTCCGTACGTGAAAGCACGGCGTAGCAGCAGACCTGGTGCCCGCTCTCTGGCTACACAATAAGGAGTCTTGACGATGCGCTCTTCTTGCCCTTGACAAATCTCACGATGATGGGTGGAAAGAAAAGATAGATAGGAATCGTTGCTGCTGCTCCAGCAGCAGCAGAGCAGAGCGAAGTCGAGGCGTTGGTGCTGTTGATGCATTGGCCATGTGAGACTCGGAACGATAGGTATGACGTCTTTCGCAGGACAAAAACACTGCAGGGGACGAGGGAAGCAAACAACTTCCGCCGCCTCCAGAATATGAGCAACGGTCTACGCGAGACGATGGTTAGAGCCTGCTCTGTTTGAACTGCTCCCGCCACTTAATTCCACCTTGCGCTGTCCCATGGGCCCTACCTATAATATTGAGTGCTTTGGTGTCTGCCACAATCATTGTCCATTTACGCCTTCGGCGGTCCTCACAGGTGCCGATCCTTTGGGGGTAGTACTTGGCAATGTAGCGGGGAGCGGATGAACCAGTCTTGAAGGTCCACTCGAATACGTATGATAAGTGTGAATTGAATAGGGTCTGGAAGGAGCGTGTCTCGCACGTTGGTTACGGAGCACTTGAAAATAAAAAAGGTTGGTTTCGGGGTGCGCGACGAGCCGCAAACTTCAGGAACACGTACTTCCAAAAATGGATTGCTACTTTAATCTGTGTATCATAGACTCGTTTTCTATAGATAGAGATAGATTCGTTGGGTCATATTAGAACAAAAAAGGAATCATTAAATCAGTGCACAGGCCAAAATGGAGTACAGCAGAATACGTAGATATCGGCGTCGGAGGCTTTGCTACAGCAGTAGTGCCAGCGCTGCTCGTTTGTTGTCTTTCTCGTACATTTGTATGGTACTCCGGAGTATGTATCGCGGACGATCCTTTTTTTTTTTTTTTCTCCCATCATTGGATTCTGTCGTCTGCCCCTCTGGCCCCTATCCTCCGCTTCTACTAGCTAGACGACCCAACCGGGTTCGCATAGGAGGCGGGGTTGGACCCCCTCCTGCGGTTCCTGCCTGAGATATTTTTATCGCGAGAAGGGTACAGCAATCCCTTCCCTCGCGACTTATGAAGTCGATCGAGTTTACTAACAACGAGCTTCGCAGCGCGTCGCTTCCAACCTAGACCAGGATTTATTTAGTGAGAAAAAAACCACTTTACCGGGACTCGAACCCATGACCTGGCCCTTGGTAGTAGGCTGCGAGGGTACCCGGTCTATCCGTGGTTGGCGACTAACCGTGCCGAGTGCATCTTTGCCTAGGCCCTTGGTGGATCCGAGCGGACCGTCCTCCTAACCCAACGTCCCCGATTTTATCCTTTATCCAACATGTTTACTTGACAGAAAAACCCTGCCAAGGCGAATGATCCGAGCGCTGTGAGCGTGAGCGAGCACACCAAAACAACGGCGGTGGAACCTACAGAACGCGGCGCGCTTCGGTAGGTTGGTAGGTTGAAGTTTTGCACGTGGAGTCGGCCCATCCCCTTGACCCGCTACCGACCACAATCTCGGTCGGCAGCAGTAGAGAAATAGTGAGTTTTGAGGAAAACGTTGGGCGTGTGCTCAGTCGGAGAACTGCACGTATTACTGCTGTAGCACTGGGGTACGGATGTACACGGCATTGCCTTTTTGGGTGCATGTTGGCCTGTAGTCATGAACGGCGAAATTCAAGGAAGCTGCAGACACCCTTCGTAGAATATTGCAATCGGTGCAGGAACAGACGCGCCCTTAAGTCGCACCTCCGGCTGTCGTACTTTCGTCACATCATCAATCGTCATCATAGCAGCAGTGTTCCAGAGGGAGTTGAACGCATCCCCCTGCTGCGCTCGAATAATGTAGATGGCGTGCATTTCCTATAGAATAACTCACATGTCGCAGGCCGTTCTCCAATTTGTCTGTCGGGAGGAGGTTGTCGGAGCTCGACGTGGCGTCTTTCCTGTCCTCCATTTCTTCGGCGCTGGGCACTTCACCCGTCGGCTGCTCGTTGAAGACGTCTGCTGTTTCTTCCACGGTGAGGGGCGTGCTGCTGCTGCTGCTGCTGTTGATGGCTACCCCTGGGAGTGAACCGGTGCCGCTACTGGAAATTCCACCGCCAGCTGCCGCTGCTGCTGCTGATGGGACGGAGCTGCTGCTAGTATTGCTCTCCGTAGATATCGCTGTGCTCTCAAAGTTTGACATGGTGCCAAGGAGAAGGGGGTGAAAACGCTGGTCAACAGGTGTACGGTAGCACTGAGAGAGGGCCTCACGACACAAAGAGGGGCAGCTGACGAGGTGACAGCAGCAAGGATGGCTGATGGGCCAGACATATCGCGGGAAGGAATCCCGGGGTGACGCGAATTCACGAAGGTACCCTGCATGATGACGTTGTGCCCCTTCTGCGGTTGCTCCGCCTCCCAGCCAGCAGCACTCACACGGGCACAGGCACACAACCTTCACATCATCAATTCGTCGCTGGAGGGTGGAGTCTGCAGCAACACCATCCGCTCGATAAAAAATGGGGAAGAAAGGTGCCGGGACCGGCGTCAACACCAAGGTCCAAGCCGCGAGAGAGAAGCAGGCCGCTGTGGAAGGAGCGAGAGCCGCCAAGGCTCAGGCGGCCCAGGAGGCCGCGGAGGCTAAGGAGTGGAGCAAAGGCGCGAACCAGAGGGGCTCGAAGCGGGAGGACGAGGCCGCCCGGAAGCAGGAGGAGAAGACATCCAAGCTTGCCGCGAAGAAGGCGTTGCAGGCGGAGGAAGCGGAACAACTCTCCGGGTTCAAGTCCGTAGTGGTAAGTGGAAAGGGTAAATAGTTTCTTGCATTCGTATCTTGACCGTGCGACTACTGCTATACTGGTGTTGCACACAACAGCAGTGTCATCGTGTACCACATGATGCGGTATGCGAGGCCCTGGATATGCTATTATTTTTCTATTTTCGAAGAATGAAATTTTGGATGTCATGATTTTAAGTTTGCATTAGACGAAAGTCATCGACTCCCCCTCCGAAGATGTGATCTCTAGACTTCCAGCCGTAATTTAGCAGTAGACTTCCCGATGGCCAGGTTGTGAGCAAGGGCTGACGACGTTTCGAAAACGGGCCCATCCTACTGGGTGCATCGCGCAGCAATACGAAGAAAGAAATGCACACCGCGCACGGAAAGATCACTAATCTTGTCAGAGGAGGACTGTTTTCTCTCATGCTTTCATGATTGTCTGCCATCCCTCACAAGCGACGCTACTGTTCACGCGTGCGGTTGGGATTTCGAAGTCACAGGACCGTTCTAGAGACCGTGCCTTGTGGCACATGAGTATTTTATCAAGCGCTTACCCTGAAATGTATTTTTCGCCACACCAAGAGAGAACGGTTGCGTTGGTAGATACGGGATCCATATATGCCTATACCCCGGGACGTCGTACGTCTGCTAATCCCGCCGCACCGTGCGGATAAACGTATAGCAGAAAAAGACGGTGGTGCAAACTAACTCTTGAATGGGGAGTATTTTCTGTGGTCTGTATAAGGGTGGCCTATCTCAGACCGACGGAAGGGGTTGAACTTTCTCTCGACTGCTGTGTGACCAGAGGAGACTTCCGGAGCGACGGTGGGGGGCCGCTAGTGCACAGACTTGCGGGACAGGAGTAGTCATCTATTAGGAAGAGCCAACGGTGTGGTCTCTAGGAAGAGAGGGAAAGAAGAAGAGTGACAGAGGAGGGGTGAAGAGGGGTGTGCACAGCACATCACTCCGCAGCCCTGATGACGCAGAACCAACCTGACTAGGCGGTGACACACATACAGTCTGTGCTGGCGTGCTGACGTGGTACAGCACTGACACGCTACCGGGGAATCTCCCCGGGCGTGAGACGACAAACAACCATCTGGGCAGTTGAGTGTATATATGTGATACACGGGCATGTGCATACAGTGAGATCCGGGTGCGCGCGGACCGTACGGAAAGATCCGCAGAGCAAGCGGAGGAACCGTTGGACAGGGGACCTCGAGTAGGACGTACGTACAGCTACACCAGAGACTCACATCACCCCCCAGTTTTGGTGGTGTTAAGAGCTCGTACTCCACCAAAACTCGACAGCGAGGAGTTCTGGTTCGCTGACAATACGTTTAACTCACATGAGATTGACTTCACTCAAGAACAATCAAATGTCGAAGCATGGATGTGTGACCAAAAATGCCGGAGGGAACAGACGAGCCGAGAACGAGACATGTGCCGATTGGACGAAACACGGGTAGTGCTTTGTCAGGCAAGTATAATCGCAGGATCGACAAGGAGGGATATAGTGGAGTGATGGAAAGTACCGAGTTTATTCACAAAACATTAGTGCTTTGTGGCCTGCAGGGCTGACGACTCGTACAAGACAAAAGAAAAATGGTCGCGACGTGCACCATGACCCGTGGGTATGGAATCATAGTGGGAAGATCCTGAGAGACAAAACATGTGCAGGGCAACGTTGGCGTACCGTGGCAGGGCACATGAGTCCACCGAAGTGAGACATAGACAACATGGCAACATCGAAGTGACGCCGTGCGTTAGTTAACAACCATCTGTAGGCTGGTCAGAGCTCTTGCGCATAACATGATGCGGGTTATCAAGCAAGGCGTCGCGTCAACGATGACGAGAGACAGAGCCCCAGACGTGGATTGACGTTGGACAGGACAAAAAAATTGAAACATGTTGTCGCATGGCCGAGACTTGATGGAACGCAGAACAAATCAAGTCCATCGGCATGTGCACACTGCGACAAAGCGTCGTGCATCAGACCCTCCCGTCGGGTTAGGGGAAGAGCGGTACATGATGAGACGAGGGCGTGTGGTACCCCATATGAGGCAAAGATGTTTTCTCCATGTTTTATTATTTCTTCGGTCATCGCGGGCCGGAGGGGCCCCGATATTTTCTTACAGAACGGCATAAGCCATCTTCGACTTGCGACATGGCGAAGGACAACACCGTATGGTGCGGACGTCACAACGTGTGCGAACCTCTAAACACGGAACGAAACGAAATCTAAGAACAAAGAAAAAAAACATGGGGACAACGATCCTCATACAGGTGCGGTGCCAACCGCAGAATCCACACGAAACAAAATCAGATAGGCCGAAGCCTGTGTTGGAATGTCTGGGTGGAGACAGAGGAATTTTGAAATGGCGCCCATCTTGCTGTCAGTGCGAGTGCTCTAGCGCATATAAGGATGCGGGGTGTCAGATGAAGGGACAAAGTCAGACCACCAGGCAGAAAACCAACAGGACAAAACAAATTCACGTCAGAGAATGTTCCGGGTGGCGTCAGATGGCGCGACCAAGGAACCCAAGACAAGAAAGTATAAGGCGTGCGCGGTACTCTCACAGAACCCAAAGACAATGGGTACCAAGTAAAAGCCATGTGGGTACGGAGACCCTCAAGTTGACACACGTAGAACATAAACAATTCTAAGACATACTGCCGGGCCAGTAAAAAAAATCAGACAAAATTTAGCAAGCACATGGGCGCCGGACAAAGGTTGTTGCACACCGATGTTAGGACGGAGGGGTGCGCAGACAAGCCCATGTTTTAAGTGCTAGAGACAGAGGCGGGTGACGAACGAGTGTTTCGCCGAGGGGGTGAAAACGCCGAGGGATCTTGGGATAGAATTTCGGCACGCTAGGACGCAATCATCTCAACACATTAGGGAATGGCACGGTAGTGGCGCCAAAGGCCCAATTGTGGAGGATAGTCTTTCAACTTGAGATGATACTGGAAGTTGTCCAGGAAAGCTGCTCCTACCCCCCGTTTATGACCGTCGATGAATTCGATGGTATACGGACCGAGGGTGACTGGGGTTTCAGAACGGTCCAAGATCCGGCAACGGAAGTGTCGTTCCAAGAAACAAATCGTCGAGTGTTTCAGGATCCGGGACCGGAGACGAGGTGGGAACAACATACGGTTTCATACGGCCCGAATGGACGGTGGTTTCGATCGGCTCGTTGGGTTTGGAGACCCGATAAATGACAGGCGAGAGTTGTGCTCGGACAGTGTAGGGACCATGCCAAGGGCTAATGAGCTTGGGTTGGGTCCAGCTGATTCGGTGTACGGACGATGGACGAGTACCTGGTGACCGGATTTAAAGCTTGGGAAGGACAGTTTCGCATTGGCCTCCGCTTGTTTTGACGTGCGTTCTTTGAGGTTGCGGCGAGCTAACTCGTATGCAAGCTGGAGATTCTCTACGGTACGGCGTGAGTAATTGAGACGGCTTTGGGGAGCCGGCGTAGCGGGGACACCAAGGATGAGATCGACAGGGAGTTTGGCCGCGCGACCGAACATGAGATAGTGAGGGGTCTCTTGCAAGGTCTTGGAGTACGCAGTATTGTGCGCGAGTTGGACAAACGGTAGCAGTTCCGACCAATTATCACACGCCAGATTGCTATACATGGCGAGCATATTATGGATGTGTTGTGGACACGCTCAAGGACAGAATTACCTTGAGGACGATACGCGGCGGTGCGGGTTTTCTTGTACCCGAAGACAAACTGCAGTTCTTTCACAAGTTGGTTTTCGAATTCCTTGCCTTGGTCAGAGTGCAGGGTGTCCGGAGGACCGAACACCGAAAAGACGCGATCTAATGCGGACAACGACAACCGCTTCTTTGGATTTGATGGGAATCAACATGACAAAGCGTGTGAGATGATCAATCACGGACAAAATGTAGCGGTTACCTTCAGACAGAGACTTGTATTCAACAAGGTCTACGGCTACGCATTGAAACGGTTGCGTTACCGGACGATGACCGACAGGCAGTTTCGGCGGTCGGTGTGACGTTTTTCGACGTTGACATGATTCGCAACTCTGAACGTGACGGGTAATATCGGAGTGCATCGTTGGCCACCAGTAACGGTCGCGAACTTTGTCGAAAGTGCCTTTGAAGGCTAGGTGGCCTCCAGAGGAGGGAAGGTGATGGCATGAGGAGATGACAAGGGTTCGTAGGGAGGATGCGACCACGAGTTGATCGCGGAATTGAGCCCGACGGCGTATGTGGGCGGGGATGTACGAACGACAAAGCAAACCTTCATGAAGGAAAAACTTGCTCATGCTAGACTTACACTGGTTCGGAGGGACGGGTGATTTCGCTGGAGTGGCGAGGTAATCGAAATACTGGCGGAACTCGCGTTTTTGGTGATCCAACAGTTTGACCGAATCGAGTACAGGAAAGACGGACACAGCGCTCGAAGATATTTCGCGGTCGCTTTCGACGAGCGCGGTTTCATCGAGGTTTTTGTTAGGACACTTCGTAATCGCGAGGAACCGGGGGACAGAATGGTTTATCATCGGGTACGTTGCGACAGGTCGCCGCGAGGCTGGGTTCGGACGGCACAGGGTTGCCGTTAACCTCGCTAAAAATACGAGACAGAGCGTCGGGGACGACGTTGAGTTTCCCCGGCAGTAAAATCGTAGTTCTGGAGTGCGATAGCCCAGCGCGTCAACATGTTGGACGTGTCTTGCATGTGGTACAGATACGTGAGCGCTTGATGATCAGTGCTACACGTGAAGTGACGCCCCCAAAGGCATGGGCGCCAGTGGGTGAGGGCCCAGACAACCGCAATGCATTATTTCATGGTGTAGCGCTGTAATGGCGTTGGCCTTTTGAAAAACGTTTACTGTAAAACGCGACGATATCGAGTTCTTTACCGTCGGCACTATCGCGGGATGGTTGAGCGAGGAGAGCGCCTACGCCTTGTGCAGAGGCGTCGGTGTGAACGACAAATTCTCGAGAGAAATCGGGAAAGTGGAGGACAGGGGTAGAGGATAGGACTCTTTTGACGTTTTCGAAGGCGGCATCTTGGGCCGGCCCCCATGCTTTTTTAAAACTAGCACGTTTGACATCATCTTTTCGAGTGAGTTCGACCAGCGGAGCTGTGACATCGGCGTAATCTTTGATAAAACGTCGGACAAAACTCACCATGCCTAGGACAGATTGAATATCTTTGATGCAGGTGGGGGTGGGCAGGTTGCGAATGGCATCGATACGGTCGGTACTGACGGAAATGCCTTTTGTAGAGATGACATGACCCAAATAGTCGACTTCTTTCTGACCGAATTTTCGACGGTTTGAACGTAAGACCTGCTGCTTGCAATGCTGCGAACATTTTTTCGAGAGATGACAGATGAGCTTCGAACGTGTGATTGATACAGATCATATCATCCATGTACGAAAGAACACCGGAGTCTGGACCTAGGTGACCTAGAGCGAGAGACATGACATGTTGGAAAAGCCAAGGTGCATTAGCTACTCAATTCGGCATGCGTTTAAAACAGTACTTGCCGGTAGGGGTGACGAACGCAGTACGGTCCACGTGCTTCTCCGCCACGGGAATCTGCCAGAATGCGCTGAGGATGTCGGCGACGGTGATGTAGAGAGCCGACGGCATCCAGGCAGGACCCGAGGTTGGGCATGGGCCAGGTTTTACGGACGATGTGGCGGTTGAGGGTGTGGCGGTAGTCTACGCAGAAACGGGGACTGCCGTTTTTCTTAGCGACGAGGGTGCATGGACTTCCCCATGCGCTGGGCCGTTTTTCGATGATTCCCCACTCAAGCATTTCGGCGACACATTTGTCGGAGGCAGATGCAACTCGGGGATTCGGACGGTTCGGCGGACGATCGACAGGATGTGTGCCGGGTGGCACAGAGAACGTGGCTTCTGCAATGGTGCAGCGGCCGAGTTCGGACATTGACAGAGAAAGACAGGACGGTATTTTGCGCACAAGTCTAGGACAGCAGGACGGTTGTTGCTCGGATGTGAGCGTGGTATTGTCGAAGGGTTTGGACAGAGGCTCTTCGAGTTCGGACTTGGCGTGGCGAAGTTCGTCGTCGGTGACGGGTGTGTTCGCGACAGCATTGACATGAAGTTGGTCAGGTTCAGTGACAGTCATTGTGGACAATTGACCGAGACAAAGACCATCATAGAGACGGACGCCATCTGAGGAAGGGTTGGCGATTTGGACAACTACAGATCCATCGGAGGCGTGCCACGTAGCTAGAGTACGGGCAATGACAGTGTTTTTGAAAGGACGGAGTGTTTCGTCGTGGGACAAGTGTTGTTCGGAAACGATCCGAGGTTCGACAACGCTGTACAATCTTCCGGTGGACGACAATCGGTGTAGGCGACAGCAAGCGCCTCGCGCATCGGTGGGATATCGACGCGTTCACGCAAGGACACCGCGACTTCTATGGAATCGCTATGGGCAGCAGCCACGGACGGTTTCGGGTCGTGGCGACGATTTCTACTGTGAGGGACTGGACGAGTTGGTGCGGTGGACAGCTGGTATTTGCAAACCAGAGGACGAAAAAGACAGGGTTTGTTGTTCCCAATCAAGGATTGCACCAAAATCCGACATGACGCTGTTGTCTAACAGCATTGAATCGGGTCCTAGGGAGGGGACAACGAGAGCGGTGACCGTACGGGTGATACCGCAAAGGGTTAATGGAAAATCAATGAACCCCATGACCTCTATCGGCGAGCCGTTGGCTGCTCTAAGGGAGACGGCAGCCGGAGGGACAGGTTTGAGTGGCGCATTTGGCAAGGTTGGATGGGATTGCAACCAAGGAAGCGACACGACAGAGACAACAGTAGCTGTGTCCACCGTGATGTTACTCACGGGACAGTCTTGGACAGAGCCGTCAACACGCACTCGTCGTGAGACAGAGACAGGCAAGAAAGATTTGGGTTTGTGCGCCAGCCGTGAGCTGTACCACACATCTTCTGAATTATTTTTTTCATCCGCGGGGAACAAGTTCCCTTCCTTCGCACTCGAACGCAAGCACGAACGGCGAGGCCGCGATTGTCTACTGCAACGGACATAATCGGGTACGAAGGTGGACACAGACTCGACTTCAGCAAAAGTGACACGTTTCCGCGGAGACACCCCAACGAACGCAGGCGCTACTTCAGCTGGGCAACCCTAGGCATCGCTATCGTCGTTGTTCTGGTCCTTGCGAGGGGGTGCGGTCCGCCGCACACGATCTTTTCGCCACCGGGCGGTTGTTCTCGCGGCGGTTCTTGGCCGCCTGCGCCTCCTCGCGTTTCCTTTGGACACAAGTGTCCGTCGTGTGCCCCGAGGGGCTTCTTGCACGACGGATGCGAGCACCGCGGGCGCTCCCTCGGGGTGGAGCGGGAGGAGTTGCCACCGCCGCGGTTGTTGCCGTTGACGTCAACGGCAAGGACACGACGGACACTTGTGTCCAAAGGAAACGCGAGGAGGCGCAGGCGGCCAAGAACCGCCGCGAGAACAACCGCCCGGTGGCGAAAAGATCGTGTGCGGCGGACCGCACCCCCTCGCAAGGACCAGAACAACGACGATAGCGATGCCTAGGGTTGCCCAGCTGAAGTAGCGCCTGCGTTCGTTGGGGTGTCTCCTTCACTTGGTAGGAAAGGCGTGAAGAGAAAACTCTCCACGTCAGTAGCTGTCGGTACACCCGCTTTTGTTGTGCCCCGTGTCCATGTCCGCAACGGTAGTTGCGTAGTGCCTCGAGCGCGTGCTCGTCCTCATGGTACCGAGAGAAAGCTTTTGGGTCTCACTGCTTTGTCTGAATTACGTGTCCCCGGTGCTTGATGCCGAGGAGGTAGAGCCTTTGCCATCGTCGCGTAAACGTCTCGCGTGTGATAGTAGCAGCGCTGTGTCCCCTTCGGCTCCGCTAAGTGGCGATGTCGGCTCGCGGAAACGTGTCACTTTTGCTGAAGTACATTTATACCAGAGACTCACATGCTTCTATTTACTTTTCCTAGTAAGCTAACTCCTTCGCACAAGCCATTGTAGTTTTTTTTTCTAGAATTTTCAACAGTTTGAAAGGCATCCCGGTGAAGGCGTTTTTTACAATATCAGTGAAGAGAAATACCGTTTTTTGGCATAGAAAGCCGGTAATGTTACAACGGCGTTGTTGTGGTTCGCCAGCCGGGACGTGTGACGGAAGGTCGAAGGTCGTCTTGAAAAAATTGCTGTCGCTACAAGCAAGTTTTGCCAGACAAAACGCCCGATCCGTTGGCGGGGGCTACAATCGAGTAGGAATAGGGGCCTCTTCTGTCTCCGAAAAAGGGGTGCGCGGTCTATGGTTGACTCGGTTGAAGGGCGAAAGCCAGCAAGAAATTATTGTACACGAAGGCGAAGTCCCATGCGTCAATAATATTTTATGATATGACAATCAGATCCCCACGCGAGACGGGATATGAAAAAAAAAAAAAAATGCCACCCTGGGCAAAGTAGGAAAAAACGGTTGGCAAACTCGGCGATGAGCCTTGTGGGAACAACGCTCCGTCCTCTCTCGAGGACGCGTGGTCAACAGTCTAAGGCATGCCAAACATGGGTACTGTACCGCCCCCTACCCCCTGCTGTCCGTCACTCGTCGGCGTCTGTCAAAAGAAAACGAAGAAGAAGGTGGACGTGCCGCCATGGGAGGCCGCTCTGATGTCGTCCTCGGTGAGCAACAAGGAGAAGAAGAGGCAGGAGGCGGCGAAACGGCAGGCGCAGGCGGAGGAGGCCCGCAAGGTACGTGCGGGCACACGGCCCCTTACACCCCACTGTGCTTACGGGCCATACCCACGTGTGTCGACCTCAACTCCAACCCATACACCAGGAAGTTTTCTCTTGACAGGGGGAAGCTCGCAAACTGCCGAGACTGGGGTACCGTGTACGACGCAAGATAAATAACACACCCCCAGGATCGATTTTCAAAGCTCGATTACTCCACGACCAAGAGGATGCATGAACGAAACGATACATTTCGGAGAGCTCTCGACCGGACGGCTTCAACGCCGCCGTTTTCGGCACCCCCACTCTTTCTGCTGTTGATAAATCGATCTTCGAAAATCGGTCCAGCGGGTGTGTTATCTTGTGTCGTATACGGCAGGCGGAAAGGCTATTGATAGCAACCGAGAGCTTCCCGGAGAAGGCGTTGTTTGCAGAGTGGTTGTATGCATAGCCGGAGGCTCTTCGCAGGCGTGATGCCGTTTCGCCTGCAGGCACCTTTCTCGTTGCGGAGCAATGGGACGCGTGGGTTTAGAGGGCACGTGAACTGGCGAGGGTACGGAACTACGCCCCTGTGTCACGCCACGCGCCCGCCCACACACACACACGGAAGAATAATGGTAAGAGATCGGAGTGGTAAATCGGACAATGCCAGGTGGAACGCCCCGCAACGTGGAGTACGCTTATCGTGTCCCCACGGCCTGGCAGTCAGCTTGTCAGTGTTACGGCTCCGCGACGTTCTCCCTATTCCAAGCTTCTGCTGTACGGCCATGCGTGTGGCCGTTTGTACACAGCTTCTTTACTCCCGCCGTCGCTGCCTAATTGTAAGAGGCTGTAGGGGCTAAGCTTGTGGTGTGCGATGCAGGAACCCTCGTTTGCACCTCCAAGCCCTCTTGCACTCAGCTGGTAGCTTGTGCTGTGATATTCAAATCATGTGCAAGAGACAGATGTTCGATTTCTTGTACGTTGCGGTCAGAGATGGGAGTGAATCGGTGTGGCTCGGCCACACACACACGAGATCCGATGAGAAGAAGAAATGATTTGTATGCCCATCATCCATCTAGCAGTCAGCAGTAGTGAAAACTCATCTGCAAAATCTACACTCTGCTACATGACGGCTACAACGTAGCTACGATGACACCTTGCCGCGATGTCCTGACAACATACACAGTGGCAGTGCTTGATACCCCCACCTCCTTCTCCCGTGGTTTAGGTAAATGCAGAGCGATAGGGGCCAAAGGTATGCAATACATAAGTACCCCCCCCCCATCATGAGTACGCCCGCCGCCCCCCTTCTCCTGTGGCATTTTACCCGTCAACCCGTCAACGTCGGTTTTAGGGAAAGACGAGTGAGCTCAGAAAGGAGGCCAAAGGCATGCAAAACATGAGTTCACCCCCCCCTTTCTCGGGTTTGTAGGGATGACAAGTCAATGGTCTAACGACTACAGCATGCACGACTATGAGTATGAGTACCCCCCCCTTCCCCTTCTCCTGTGGCCTTAACCCGTCAATCGCGGTTTAGGCAAAGGCCGAGCGAGCCGAGAAGGAGGCCAAGGCGATGCGAGACTCGGGCATTCAGATGGGGGACGACTCCGAGCTATCTGGGAGCGCGAACCCCAACAGAAAAGGTGCCGACGGGGGGGACGGCGGGGACTGGGCAAGCGGCATCGACGCTGCGATCGGGAGCCTGAGTCTGGAGGGCGCAGGACCGGCGGAGCGGCATCCGGAGAAACGGCTGAAGGCTGTGAGTGATACTCGGGGATCGGGGGGGGGGATAGGAGGCACTCATCGTTTCCACATGTATTGTGCGATGGCACACAGATCCCGCTTGAGGTATCCTACTAAGAGGTTGCGTGGGTGCAGTTATCGTTCTTGTCGAGCCTGTCGTTCACCGAGGCTTACAACAACGGCATCCCGGAGGGTTCGACCGACAACTCAAAATCTTAGAAAACTGACCGCACCGGCGGCGGGAACGCCGCACATCCTTTCTTCTTGTAATCCGAAGAACCGGTCGTGTTACCTTGTTGACAGACACCGCGGTCGCGGGCTTTGGGCTTCCTGCAAAACCTGTGCGTCTCACCCGGCACCCGGAATGGTGGACCGTGTGCAGCGGCATTCGTTTCCCGTCAGTTTTTTTTTTGTTGAGTTGTCGGTCGAACCCTCCGGGATGATGTTGTTGGAAGCCTCGGTGAACGACAGGCTCGAGAAGAGCTCTGTCGTCGCAACTGCACCCACACACTGTTCGGCGAGGCGGTGTGTGTTTGGCGAAAGGACTGTAGCGGTATGGTCATTGCCCCCCCCCCCTCCTCTTTTTTGGTACGAGGTGCGTTCAGCTTAGTCACGATTCCTCCCTGCAGCAGCAGAAGCAGCGGGTGTATCGCTCGCGCTTCATTGATTGTTATCCAATTGGCGTTTTTATTACAATCCCACCCCCGCTATACACCTGCTTCGTCCTCTTGTGGACGCGTGATCAACAGTTTAAACGCGTCAAGGCATGCGAAACATGAGTACGCCCCTCCTCTACAAACCTGCTTCCCCTTGAACCCTGGTGGGTGTATCTCCCTTTTCTTTGTAGGCCTTGGCGGCGTACGAGGAGAGAGAACTGCCTGCCCTCAAGGAGGAGAAGCCGGGCCTGAAGCTGCGCCAGTACAAGCAGATGATATTCGAGCAGGTGAACGATGCGCACTTATTCCCCCTGCTGCTGTCTGCTGTCGAGTTCACGAAGCGACAGGCGCTTTTTACTTTTTACAGCGTCGTCGCCGGGCAACGAATAATCATGACGGGGGGGGATTGTTTTTTCGTCCCTCTTCGAATTGTTCTCTTTTCCTCTTCGATTTGCCTTCGCGATCGGACGTACACACGATTCTGCGTGGTATCTTGCTGCAAAGAGCGGCACGAAGTCGGCCTACGTCTACACCATCCCTTACCCCGACCCTGTTCTCGGAAGGCCGAAACGCCTCCCTCTCCCCCTCTTCACCGCGATCACGACCGTGTACCCCCCCCCCCCCCCCTTCGCGTTTGTCACCCCCGTTACCCCTCCCGTGTGTGTCTCGCCCGCTTGCTGTCTGTCTATCCCCTGCTCCACCCACAATTTCGCGGAAATTTCTGTCAGTTCCAAAAGTCGCCCGAGAATCCCGTCAACAAGGCAAGGGCGGCGGAGGCAGCGGAAGCGGCAGCGGCAGCGGCCAAGAAATAAAAAACGCCTACCGGTACATCAATATCTCTTTTCTTTTTGTTTGCCGCAGTGATCCAGCACGACCCCACACTGGGTGCCATCGATTATGTGCAGTAGGAGTGAATCTCGCTCGGGCGAGAGAAGCACCGTTCCTGGTCCTTGTGGGACAGGGGTGGAACGTGTGTGGGGGGTGACAAGTTGTTGCTGGCCAATAGTCATCGACCACTGTAAACATCGACCCCGAGTGAAGCACCGTCCCTGGTCCTTGTGAGACTGGGGCGGGGGGTGAGATGCTGTTGCTGGCCAATAGCCATCGACCACCACGAGCGAGCGTGTCCTTCTGGGCCATGGGTGGGGGGACTAGTGTTGTGTATCAGGAAATTCTCATATCAGGAAATATCCGATATACCCCAGAATATGATATATCGGCCATGCTATTTGCTCCACCAGGCAGATCTCCACCCACAGAGCTTCAATCGACCTCAAACCAATTGCATCGTGTAGGTATGGACTACAGCTATCTGCAATGCTACTTACAAGCTAAATCCGACCGGTGGCTGCAGAGATATGCTGAAAAAGGGGGTTCCGCAGCATGTCAGGAAGCAGTAATCGTCTCGAACCTCCGTCCACACCGCTCCAATTGACCTCAAACGTTGTGCGTCGTGTGTGCACGGCCCCTGCCGTTCTTCCAAGCTATCGGACACTCCCATCCGATATATTCCCGCAGAGATATGGTCAACCGAGGGGGTTCCGCAGCATCTAGGGGGGGGTAAATGGCAATTGTCCCGCTATACCTCCCGTCACATAGCTGAACCACGCCTAAATCGGCCCGCATCGTGTTGGCCCGGCTCACAGCTATCATTCAAGCCATCCTCCACCCCAATCGGACCAGTGGGTGCAGAGAAACGCCCACACGCGGGGGCTCAGTGGCTCAACGGCCGGTGGAGCAGAAAAGCTTATCTGCTCCACCAGGCCAAACTCTATCTACCGGGCGCTGTTTGTCTTACAAAGACTTGCCTTGTGTTGGCACGGCTCACAACTATCATACAAGCCATCGGACACCCCGATCAGACCAGTGGGGGCAGAGAAACACCCACCCACGGGGGTTCAGTGACTAAAGGGCCGGTGGAGCAGATAAGCTTAACTGCTCAATCAGGCCAAGCTCTATCTACCGGGCGCTATTTGTCTTAAACACAACAACAGAGGGAACGAAACGCTGAACCCTTCTCGCTCGTTCAGGTGCAAGCACCGCGCTGAGGCAAAGAAAGGTGGGGCAAAACAACACACACACATGGGGTTGCCTTCGTGGCGGGTGACCCCGGTTTGTGCGGCGTAAATAGTACCACCGTTCTATTTGAAAAAGTATGGGCCGTTCGTACACAAGCCCGAAAGCCTTAGAAAGGCCCCTATTATTTGCGGCGTGCCCTTTCCCTTTCCATCTTTACAGCTCCGAGAAGCGCTCAACAGCAATCAAGTTCCAAGAAGAGAGCTCCGACCTAACGAAAGAGCAAGCATGAGAGGACAACCAACAGACGGTTCGTTCTCTACATTCGCGTCTGTAAAGTGTGGCGGTGGTGGTGGTGGTGGGTTCAGACGCCCTCCAGACCCTGCCGGTGACGGGGCCGCCCGCGTCTCCAAGCGCGTTCGCTCTCGCACTATGTAATGCTGTAGAATCCCCCCCAAATGGGCCTTTACTTGTGCCCCCACTTTCGTTGGTCGAAAAGCAACAACGAAATGGTTTGAGAAAAGGAACGAGCAAGCGCCTACATTTTGCCCACTGGACCGCGTCAACCGAAAGCCGCCACCGCGAAGCCCCGCCGACGGGAAAGGCAGTCGGCTGCAAACAGTCGGCCGCATACGTGGAAACGCGGGCGCCGCATGCAGACCATGCCCCCCCCGTGCAGCGCGGGAGAGAGCGCGGTCGTAGGCAACGGCGTCAAAAGGACGGAAGAAGAGCCTTCTTGCTGCTGCGCCTATCAAAAGAGACACGATTGATTCTCATACCGTCCTCGTAATGGAGAGAGCAATGGTAAGTAGCAAGGACTTACGATGACGAAAACGACATCGCAAAGAACAACAGTAACAACGACGACACCAACCACAGCAAAACGAGGAACGCATATAAATACAATCTTCTGCCGCGCTGGTTGAGCTACACTGGCACCGGACAACTGCCGTATTCTTCATTCAAAGAAAAATCTGTAGAATTTGGGTTACAACTCTAACTGTAACTGTATATCGCACAAAGAGATGGGCAGGAACCGAAGGCGCTCAAGCACGTAAAGAGATACTGGTAATGATAACAGTAGACGAAGACAGTGGTGACAGCCCCGTCGACTATAGCAAGAGCAGAAACGATTCTCGAGCGGCACCAAGGGGCCAAACGAGAGCAGGGATGCCTGCCTCTGTCCGCCCCTTTTTGCCCCGCCCCGTTTTTTTCACGCGTTTTCACTGCTGTTTTTTTGGCGCTCCAAGCGCTGCTGCTACACCAATCCAAAAATGTTTTCGAGAACCCCTAACTCTTGACGAACCAAGGATAAACCGAACAAGGCATGACATATTACGGCAACTAACCAAAGCGTGCCAACTATTCTATGGCAATATCAACACTCGAACCCATGAGGGGCGCCCCCCCCCCCCCTCCGGTGTTGGTCTAGGCGTCTAGAAGCGCGTTGACGAATGCGTCTTCGTCAACCATGCCGTCGTCCATGCCATCACCGCCCGCGCCGGCCACTTCGGCAGCGGTCGACACTGGTCCAAACGGCTGAGAGCCCGGGAGCTCCTGTTGCACAACGCGAGGCGGGTTGGAGGTGGTGCGCGTAGACCGGGGGTGGGGGGTGTACCAGTGTAAAGCAATGCCGCATGGTCATAATATACAGGGATGTTCACGCTGCGGTTGGTGCGGCACCGCACCGCACCGCCCCGCACCGCACCGCGACCATGTCAAGATACCAAACCACACTGTGAACATCCCTTGCAAATTAGACCATTGACCCCGAAACGTCGTGACGGAGCGATAAGCCGGGTTTTTTCGCCAGACGGGGGGGGTCAATGCTACTTTTCAGGCTGGAGAGCAACAGAAGCGTGCCTGTCGTTAGACGAAAAAAAGGCGTTCTCGGGGGGGGGGAAACCTCAAGACAACCAACATACGAGACGTTTCGGCCCCGATGTCCTTGAGCAACGCACGGCAACCTTAAAGTTTTCCCGCTTCATATCTGTGCCGAACAAGCGGTCTAGAGCTATCGACTGCATGCCGTACAATGCACAAGGTACGACATCCCCTGGATCGATTTTCGAAGGCCGCCTACTCCACGACGAACAGGATGCCAAAATCAAGAACCAACCTTTTCGCAAAAAAAGCGCTCATGAGACGCTTGCAACGCCACAACGTTTTCGGCACCGCCCTCACTGCTGTTTTTTGTTGCAGACTTCATCGAGCTTCGAAAATCGACCCAGGGAGCGTGCCCACACACACGCAGCTCCAACGTGAAAAAACACAGCAGAATCGGCGTGAAAGAAGGGCACATAAAACAAAAAACGCTTACTTGGTCCTCCATGAGGCTTTCCAGGTCCGACAAGCCCGAAAGGTGCCCCTCCTCGGCATCCGAGCCCTGCAAGCCGGACGGGGTCAGCTCGTCCACAGCCACTCCAGCGCTGCCACCGCCGTCGCCGCCGCCGTCAGCAACGTCGACGTCGACGTCACCGGTACTGCTGCCACTACGGCCGCTGCCCCCGCCGCCGCCAGCGCTGGCCATCGTCGAGGCCGCCGCCGACGTTGCCGCCGCCGCCGTTGTCATCATCGTCGAGCCCACGGTGCCGATGTCGATCGCCGCCAAGCTTCGCCCGGTCTCCGCCACTGCCGCCTCCGATGTCGCCACCGCTGTGGCTGGCATCGCTTGACCAACCCCGTTGACCGCCGCCGCCGCCGTTACACCGCTTGCAGCAGCAGCAGCGGCAGCAGCGGCAGCAGCAGCAGGGGCTGCGGTTGACCCGCTGCGGTCTCCGGCCGCCTGAGCGGCGGCGGCACCCCCGCTGGCGGGCGTCTGCTGCATCACCCCGGACGGCAGCGGCGATCCAGCCGCGGCGGTGGCAGGAACCGCCGCAGAACCGCTGGCGCCGCCACCATTTGCTGCGGCAGCAGCAGGACGGATAGCAGCAGCGGCGGTCGCGGCAGGGGTAGCGATGGAAGACGGAGCAAGAAGAGGGCCGGAAGAAGCTACCCGCGGGGGCGGCGGCGGCGACGGCTGCTGCGCGGTGGGCGCAGCAGCGGCCGGAGAAGCAGCAGGCACGCTATTGGCTGCGGCCGCCGCCACAGGGGTTCCCACCGATGCCGCCACCACCGCCGGCGTTGGAGGTGCGGCAGGCGGCGGGCACGCCACCGGCCGGGGCGGCGGCAACGACCAAGACGACGGCGTCATCGCGGCAGCGCTGGCCGAGGGCCGCGCGATGCCGCCCATGGCAGCGGCAGCGGTCGAGGAGGTGTTCATCGTCGTCGCCGTGGCCAGCGGGGCCGACGAGTCCACGGTGGTGGACCGGACCTTCTTGAGCAAAGGCTGGCTCGACAGCTCCGACGACGACGCGACCCTGGCGACGCCGGCGTGGGCACCGGCAACGGCGGCGGGGGCGGGGGAGGCGGCGGCGGCGGCGGCCGGGTTAACCGCCGACACCGACGTGACGGCCACCGCACCCCCGCTGTCGGCCAGCCAGTCTAGCCCCTCAGCCTCGGTGAGCAGGTCGTCCACGCCACGGCCTGCTCGGTACCAGTTCGGAGGAAGGACCGCCGCTGCCGCCGCCATTGCCGCTCCCGCCGTTGTCGTTGTCGGCGACGCTCCTGCCGACGACGTTGCGTGCCCGGCCCTGCCGAGTACAAGAAGGGAAAAACGCGCGCGCATACAGAGAGAGGGGGACAGAGAGGGAGGGAGAGGGAGGGAGAGGGAGGGAGAAATGGGGGGGGGGGGGGGGGGGGGGGGGGGGAGAAGAAAAAAAAAAAAAAAAAAGAAATAAA